AGCCGAGTCGGGCCCTTGAATTCACGCGGAATATGGAATGCCAGCGCAAATCATGATGAACACATCTGGACAGCCTGAAGGACTTCAGCGCAAATTCAGGGCAACAGACGTAGAGAAGAAAGGAGGCCGGTCAGCTTGAGGATTCGACTCACGTTGGTCATGAGGCAGTCTGGCAGGCTGGCAGTCTGGACGTGCGCATTCATCTATGCAGCTTACAAGTTCTTTTGGGGGTCTAAGCCCAACTTGGCATCTAGCGACTCACAGTCGGGACAACAAAGCACTATTGATCATGATCTTACTGATGCTAGATATACGAACTTTCTGTTGAGACTCGCCGCAGTGTATGGCTTACCTACGGCTACAACTTTGTTTTTTTCATGGTATACGCTTTGTCTTGCATCTTGTTCTTGGCACCCGCCTGTGGCAGCTGTAGCAATGGCGTCCACGACGTGGCATCGCACGGCCGAGGACGCCTCCCGTTGCGTCGCGCATTATGTAACGCTTTCTCAACCTGCTGCTTCTTAGAACTTGCTTAGAACACGGAATCAGGGAACGGAATCTGCATTGCAGCGCGGAACGATAGTCTCGAAGAGTGTTCCCCAGCTTCAGAGAAGCCATCTACAAAGCTCCAAAGTGAAAGGCATCCTCCAGAACAAGGCAACTTCTGAAAGGCCCAGAGCTTCGCTCAGAATCTTGGGTGGACATTGCAGTGATTGAGTAGAGTTCCTGTTACTTGCAGCCTGAAACGGCCTCCCCAGTGTGTCTCGTAAAGGTTTTGGGGCTTATAGCTGCCCAGTGCGGTTCAAGCCTTGTGGGGGGCTTAGGAGATTCCGAAATTCCCAGCTAGAAACATTGAGTTCCAAGTCCTAAGCCCTGAATCCTAAGCTCCATGCGCCAGGATTGAAGTCCGTCAGTCATCCTTGAGCTCCATCTTTGGCCTGCTTTGACGCTCTCCGAGCAGGCCCCCGGAAACCCCCTTTAAAACCCTGAGCCCAGAAACCTTCGAAGCTGGGGGTGGAATAGGGGTGTAGTGCTTCAGAGGTTCAGGGGGTGTTGGTGCGGGTTGGGTGTTGCTGGTTTGGGGTGTTCGGGCCTCCATGTCTTCCGGAGAGCTTGGAGTGCGAAACGGCCCAAATCGAAGCCTCAGCTCCTTCCCAACGAAGACTCAACAATCCCAAAAAACTCCTCCAAACAAAACCCTAGACCCAAGTCCCTAAAATTTCCAACCTTAAGCCCCTCGACCCGAAACCCCTGCCCACCTGGACCTTAACGTTGTTTTGGTGGCAGGGCCTTCCTCCTTCTAACTTTGAAGGGCCCCCCTCAGATAGTAGAAGTAGAGTTTGGCAAGCAGTAGAGCCATTCTATCTACGGGCCTTGCTTTTTTTTTTTTTCACCCCATCTACCCGAATCTACCCTCAAAGCTAAAACCCTGAACCGTCTCGTAGCTTATTCTTGAATGTGCTGCAGCATTTGCTCTCCTCTTACTTGAAAGCCTTTGGAGTCGCATTCCTTCTGCATTTTCGGATTTCCTGGTTGTAAGTTGTACGGATAGCACACGAGTGCAGTTGAGAAGTTTGAGATTGAGCAGAGACTTCCCGCCATGGCGTGCCGAATCAAGCCCAACAAGATCTGGCTGACTGTTGAGGATTCTGGAGGGAAAGCGTAGGGAGCATCAGAGGGTCTCCAGGGTTTGGGTTTTGGGGCTTCAGGGTTTGGAGTTAAAGGTTTGAAGGTTTGAGGGCTTAAAGGATCAGGGTTTAAGGTTCAGGTTTGGGTGGGGGGGGACGAGGGGTAGAATGGGTGTGGGGTGGACGATCTCAGGGTATGCCTACGACCTACGAGGCAATCCTCTTTGCGTGTGGCCTCTGGGGGCCTTGCGAGAAAGTAGGTGCCCTGCGATCGTGTACTCTCGCGCGCCCCGTTCTATTGTAAGAGCTGTAGTGTCCTTCAGTCCACGATACACCTTTAGTCTACGATAGTCTGGTTTAGTACACTGCAGTGGTCTCTATTCCTCGAAACCCTCGCGCTGCACATCCGGAGGATCCCTATACTACACCAAATGCCCATGAGAACACGGTGATCATGCTCTTTGCCACGGCGGGCCTCATGCTCGTGGGACTCCTTTGCGGCTTGACAGGGTTTATCAGGTTTGGAAGGTTTGGGGGTTAGGGTTCTGGGCCAAAACAAAAGGTCGTATTCAACTTGTAGAACACCCCACCTCAGAGACCCACCCAAACGATCCTTCTTGAGGGGTTTTAGGGGGGAGTCTACTCCCCAACCCCGCACTATCAGGATAGGCCCCCAATTTTTCTTCCATGTTGCTCCTTTCGGGGAAGGATGCTCCCAGCCACGCTCTCAGCGGGTGCTTGGCATCGGGGAGCCCAATGTTGGGGGGCTTAGGGTCGCAGAAGTGCTTGTGTAGTAGGGAGATGGGACATGGCTCCCCTCAATCAGGAAGGCCCTTCTGCAGGACCTCGGAACGTTTAGGGTGCCTTGGGAAGGTGTGTGGGATTGGAGGCTTCCCGGAGCGCGGGCGCCCTATCCTTAGAAAAAGCACACACGCACGGCGCTTGCAAACCACACCCCCCAACCGCCCCAAACCCTACACCCGCAGAAACTTGGAGAAATGGCCTCAACCATGGATCCTGAACCCTGGATTTTTTCAACTTACCCCCCAGATGAGCTACTCTGAAAATTCCTCCAGTTGAGGCAACTTCAACCGACAGGTTGCAGGTGCCGACAGGAGGAGCTTATAGTTCCCCCGCTAACACCCAAACCTGCTGCCAAAAAACTCTTGTGCCCTAAACCCGAAACCCTGAAACCTTAAAGCCCCCGGCCCTCCCGGGCGAAATCCGACCCTCCAGAGGTATTCTTGCAAAGGCTTGCAGGCGGGAAGCCGCTTCCGACTTCCTGCACCTCTTCTTCTTTCTCTTGGGTGCCGGGGGCAACTCGTCCGCCAAGGTGAGCTTTCGAAAAGTTCACCACTTCCCCTAAGAACAGGAAAACGGATCCTATCGCCCCTAAAAGTCTGTAGACACTACCTTGGAGCTGAATTCAAGGAGCTGAATTCAAGTTGGTTTCGGATTCGGGAGTAGGATGTACGATGGACTCCTGGGTTCCTGGCATCCTCCGGATCACCCGAAGCAGGGGAGAAGGGGATGCACAGCTAGACCCTTCAAAAATCCCTGAAAAACCCTCCAAAAGCCCCTAAAGACCCACAAAAACCCTTAAAACCCCCTAAAACCCCCTAAAACCCCCTAAAACCCCCCTTAAGACCTAGAAGCCCGAGCTCCTGCACCCCGAAGCCCTTCCTTGCCGGAGCTCCCGAGGCTACGCTTGCGCCGGGATCGCCGGCGCCGCGTACACCGCGGGCCCGAACGCGGTGCTCCTGTGCGCGCGGCTGCTTCTTGTCGCCTCATGGCACCTGGGCCATGCTGGAGAGGAGAGTAGACCTGTGCATCCTATGTATTTTAGAAATATAAATGAAATTTAAATAAGAGTAAATATAAATATATAAATATAAATAAAAAAAATATATATATGCATGCATATATATATATACAAAAAATGCATATACATATATAATATACATATATCAAAATTTTCCTTGCGGAATCTTGGATCCAAAGAAGCCCGGTGTGCGGATTCAGCATCCGACAATGAAGCCTTGAACTGGGCGCCCTCGGTTCTTCGGTTCTGGATCCGAGCCTCAACTAGATCTTAACTCCTAATATATGAGGCCTGAGCTCCTGAAATTCAGATCTTGGAGGGCAGGGTTTTGTATAAGAGCTCCAAAAGACAAGTCCTTCGAGGCTCTCTTTCTAGGGGCCCCTTTTGTGCGCGGTTTCCCCAAAACCGTGACCTCTGTCATATGTTGGGACGTTCCCCCTTCTACTAACAGTCCTTAATAGGGATTATAGTACTACCCCCCCCCCCCCCCTATTAAATCCCTAGCAAGGAGCTGTTAGTACAAGGGGGGGGGACATTCCCCTTTGTCATAGTATGCCCAAGGATGGGATTGCTGGTCAGCTGCTGCTTCTTGTACCAGAGCCTGTCACCGGCGAAACTCAGGGCAACAGCAGCTTGCCCCTGACTTTTAGGGTTTGGGGTTTGGGGTTTAGGGTTTAAGGTTTAGGGCGCGTCCCTGACTCGCGCGTTTCCAGACCTACTGCAGTAGGAGTCTCTTTTTTTGGTGAGTGCTGCAGTGTGCTAGGGCTATCCCAGCACAGAAGCAACAAGTTTGACGCCGTGTTTGATGGCAGCTTGATGGTGGGCACGGCCATGCTCGATCGTAGTCGCCGGAGTAGCAGGGGTGCTGATGTCAGCAGCAGTAGAAGATGGAGTTCAGAGAGTACCCAGGCTAAGACTTGGGGCGTACTTGTGAAGCAGTCTGAGGTCCTGTGGACTCTGAGCACTGCTGTCGCACTCAGCGGTTTGGTCGCTGCCGCTGTGGGATGGGGAACACATCTCGAGGTCGCGATGCTCTTCGTTGGGGGTATGGCGATGCTCTGTACCCTGGCATGGTACAGTGCCTGGCGAGCCCGGAGAACGATGTCCGGTTTTGTGAAGATGCTGGTTACAGGAGTGCTCAGCCTGGGCTTCCTGCTCGTGGGCATCATGGAGCCTTTCTGCGGCGCGCAAGGCCACTCTACCTGCTACTCGAGTTGCGCAGGCGCCTCGGCGTCTCAAGGCAGTCCAGGAGAAGGTTACGTTGAGAGGACTCACGATGAGTAGACCACTAGTGAAGCAGCAGCCCTGGCAGTTACAACGGAGGACAGCAGCGACAGCGACAGCGACAGCGACAGCGACAGCGACAGCGACAGCGACAGCGACAGCGACAGCGACAGCGACAGCGGCGACAGCGGCGACAGCGGCGACAGCGGCGACAGCGGCGACAGCGGCGACAGCGGCGACAGCGGCGACAGCGGCGACAGCGGCGACAGCGACAGCGACATTTACTTCTAATCTGCAGGCCCTCCAACACCTGCTTTTGAAGGATC